AATTATCCTTTGCACGTCATGTCACTGTGTTTCCTAACACATATTTTAGGAAAGAAAGAGGTTTTCTGATTATGGCTCTTGCAGAAATAGTTTTTGGTCAATGTGGCTCTTAAGTCTAACCAGGCTGAGTACCACTGTATTAAAGTGTCATTAGGGCAAGACACTGAAGCCCTGATTGCTTCCCAGTGGCATTAACGCCAGTGTGTTTACAGTAACTAGGTCCATGTTGCCCTGTACCGTGCTAAAGCTCCAGGACTAACCAGGCCTAAGCACGGTTACCTCTTGGACATAACATCATAATACAACACATGCATGGCTTTAGGTGATCATGAAGCGTGCTTATAGACATTTGAAACCCAAGCAAGAGTCCACATGATGTAGCTTGTCTTTTGGGTCACATCATGGACATATTTTTTTTTGAAGAAAATCTTAAATTTTAAAAGTAATTCAAGGTACCAGTTAGACTGACTGTTGTGCAGTTTTAAGAAAAATATTTCCCCTCAAAAAAGTGGCTGTTGAGGTGTCAGTGGATTAGTGGTTATTTTGGGCACCACATGAACAGGAGCTGTGGTCATCAAGGAGGGCGTCCTGGGTTCAGGTCCAACCTGTGGCTCCTGTCCCACACCACCCATCATTCCCACAGGCTGTAAATATTAACGGACTAAGCCTGAGTGACGTCAGACACCTGTTCCTGCAGGGGGCTCCGGAGGCTCATCGGCAGCAGCCATCATGCTGGAAATCCCGTCTCAGTCTAACTTTCCGTCAACCTAACGAAATAGTGATTTAGGAGTCTTAAACCCGAGACAGGATTTAATGTGTAATCCTTCAGAGCTTTTTTTTGTGCAATTACTGTTGGTTTTTTATAAGTCAGTGAGCGAGCAGGTTGGTAGTAGTGAGGGAGTTTTTATAGGTGAAACTAAGAAGTCAAATGCACCTTTATATTATAGACATAAAGTTTGTGATGTACCTTGCAAACAATAAAACATTTACAACAACAGTCAAGTGACAAGCTGGGGTCATGAGATCAGTGTGTGTGTGCGTGTGTGTGTTCGTTCTTGTTTGGCATGCATTTTCTCTTTTCTCATGTTGACAAGTTCCACAAAGGAAAAAATAAACTAAGTCACCCCACACACACAAATCCCACACCTTCAAAATAGTGCAGCACATTTTTTGGATGCTTGCCAGTAAGTTTTTTTTTTTTTTTTTTTTTTTGTCAACCTCAGCTTGCACATGACCGCCAAAACAGTTTGGCTTTAGATCTGGAGGTTTAGGGTTAGGGATGTCCAAGGTTACCCAATGTGTCTGAAATGAAGGCAAATAAAACAATTGTTTTTACAGTCTGGAAACAGTCTGAGTGTCGGGTTATAAACACATTACAAGTGAATATCTCAGAATTAAATGAAGATGGAAAGACAATAAAAGAAGTTGTCATTTCAGCTTTGATTCGATCATAAAATCCTCAAAGGCAAATATGACATTTTGATTATGTGCAGCTTGTAAATATACAATTCTTTTAGCAGACACTTTTATCCAAAGCACCGAACATCAGGGAGTAAGAACAACACAAGCAAGGATCTAGAGAGGAGGAAAGCTAAACAAACAGGTGCTGACAGGCCGTGCGCAGAGGCAGAGCACCTTTTTTCTTTTTTTTTTAAATATAAGAAACAAACATTTCTCAAACTGACTTTTTAATAATGGCGTGTTCCCCCTTACAATGTATTAAATGTTTTTTTTTAATTGCCATCTGCAGCCATGTCACATGAGCATCTAAGGTTTAGATTTACTGTAAATGATGACGCAATGTGTCAACACCACAGCTGACCAGATCAGCTGTTCACAGGAAGTGTTGGTTAACTCCCCAGACTGTTCAAACCCCTGATTTCCCCTAAGCAAACTCCTCTGTAGGTTACAGAGGGAAGTACCATATGGGAAATCTCATTTAAAGTGTTTTATTTTTTGGACTTCCCTGAGCTACTCTTGTCCCCAACTATCAGTCAGCCCCAAGCTGAGTGTGTTTTTTTATTGCAGTTTTGTACTCGCTTAATTATCTTAATACATTTTAGACTTTTGTAGACTGATTTTAGCAGTCTTGTATTATGTGTCCCCTGTTTTTCTTTTTGATTTAATGTCTGTTTTCTAATTATTTCTGTAATGACTCGAAGTCATTGTAAATGATCTTTCGAGTATAAATAAAGGTTGAATTGAATTGAATTAGCTGACAAGCACGTGTAAAGCTGTCTTCACAATTTTAATCCTCTTTTACTTCTTAATGTTGTCTTATCTCTTACTATTTCTTTTAAAAATGTTATCCTCAATTTCCTTCTGCTGCTTTCACAACTCTTGTTCCCTTTTGTTGTTTGTACCGTCTCTTTAAATATGCCTTTATCGCAAGTAACTGCTTAATCTCCTTTAACTGCTCTTATATTATTAATTTGTGTGTTCTAATTTAGTCATTTTTTATCTTACTAACTTTGTATATTAATCTATATTTTTTCATTATTACTATTTTTTTGTATCATACTTGTTTCTATTGCTCCTCTTTTATTACTGTTCTATTTCTACTTTCTTTTTACTTTTTAAGTTTCTTAAATCTTCTTTAAAAACCTGTGTTTTTAAAAGTGCTATATAAACAAAGTTATTATTCTTACATTAAAACCCTTTAAAATAAGATTTAGATGTTAACCAAGAAGAGCACAATATAAATAGATTATAACCTTTATATCTGTCATACAGATTTCCATACAGACACATCACTGATTCAGATCATTCCATATCTTGCTGTATACCTTTGCAGAGCAGAATCTCTCTTTTAGAGTCGTTGCTGCTGTCACTACTGGTCATTGTGGAGTTTTGGAAAAAAAATGGTGCTCTCTCAGTTGGCATTTGCATTACAAGAAACAAACCAGCAGATGGCAGCATTTCCATAAGCTTCACTTAAAGGTGTAAAGATGCTCCCAGAGATTGGTTCATATAACTGTCATGGTCACCACCATCATGACTTCATTTGTGTAAAAGTGAGTTTCTTCCCCAAAACTTATTTCAGTGTGATGGTTGTCAGGTTAGCATTAAAGCTGTAGGTTGTCAGGTTAGCATTAAAGCTGTAGGTTGTCAGGTTAGCATTAAAGCTGTGTAGAGTTTATTGAAATGTTAGTGTGTGAAGAAAACCCTCAGGTCCAGTGACAATACTCGTGTGAAACGGCCGTAAGACGCTTGGCACAGGAGAGTGAAAGGAACGTCATCCCCGGTGAACTCGTCTAATTTCATTACTCTACATGTTTCCTCAGCTTAGAGCCAATCACATAGTTGGCTGCTCTCTGCAAAGGGGGGTCACGCATAACAGCCGCTAAATTGTGACAGTGGATCAAACTGGCATACCTTAGCACATAATGTGATTATCGGATCAATAACACAGCAACATTTGGTGCATAGCTGGGATGGCTGTCCTCCTCTCTGGTTACACATTGCCGGCATTCACCAGTCATTCCCACTTTATAGGTGACAAAGTGTGAATGCAGGCAGGAATTCAAACGGAAAGCCTTTTGAATAAGACACGTCGCAAAGTGTAATCTTAAACACATCTGGCTCTGTGTGCTACTGCAACACAGCTGCTGTAAATATCTACACGCACAATACGACAGTGTGAATTAGAGGGTGATCTAAAAGTGTTTTATTAAGTTTCTGATTATAATAGAAACTAACATGACTATTTATGAGTAAGTATTATTTGCTCTCTTGCTTAAAGGAAGAATGTGCAACACCTGACACATAAATTTGTAGGAAATCTGGTGGCACTGGTGGCACAGTGGTTAGTGCGCGCCCCTCGTGTGGTGGCTGTAGACCTCCAAGCAGGCAGCCCAGGTTCAAATCCAACCTGTGGCTCCTTTCCCGCATGTCATTCCCTTCTCACTCTCCATGATTTCCAACTCTATCCACTGTCCTGTCTCTCCATTTAAGCCACAAAAAACCCAAAAATAAATCTTTAAATATGTAGGAAATCGAGTTTATCCTCTGTAAATGTCTCTCTGAGTCATGACTGTCTGCAATGTTTACATGGAAGGCTCCGTCCCATTCATAGAGGCTAAAGCTGTTTTAGTCAAGGACTAGAGAAAAGAAGAATAACATACTCACTGCCTGTTTGAGTGTCATGTAAGTGCTTTTAGATCACAGTCATTCCGTGTAAAGTTACATACATTGGGAAGCTAAAAGCTAACTAAAGTGTGCTAACATTAGCATGCTAACACAACAATGCAGGACACAGGCAAATGCAGCTTGAGCCAATGGCAATTTTGTCCACTGCTTGTGCTTAAAGGCTTTCTATGTGATTTTTCACACTTAAATGTAGAAATCAAGTCTATCCTCTGAAAATAACTCCGTGAGTCATGACTGTCTACAATGGGTGTAACACCCGAGTCCCACTGTCTGTGATGTTTTCAGAGTTTTCAGAGTCCTATCTTCAGTTTGTTTACATCGCCCGGACGGCCGGCTGACTCCTCCCCTCGAGTATAAAAGTTGTTTAATTGAGGGACTAGAGAAAAGAAGAATAACATACTGTACTCACTGCTTAACTGTGTTTCTAGATCACGCTCATTTCAGGTAAATTTACATGCAGTGTGAAGATACCAGCATAATAAAGATCGCTAGCATTAGCATGCTAACACAACAATGCACAAGTTGTTTTGGTTTCATGCTGGTGCTCAAGGGCGACATCTGCTGGATTAAAAAATCGCATATAAAGCCTTTAATGGGGCTTAATTATGGTCATTCTATTTGATAACTTCTTCGTGCAACATGGGGCGGGAACAGGGCTGGAGGTGTGACACTGGAGGAGAGCGGAGGCTTCAGAATAGTGGCGGTGTGGCCAAACACAACTTTGTTTTGGTTTCATACTGGTGCTCAAGGGCGACATCTACTGGATCAAAAAGTCTTAACATTCTTCCTTTAATGTCTTTTAAATGAGACAAGATTGGATGTCATGTTAATGCAATAATCCAAGGGAGAGATTTAAGAGATGACATACATTACCATAAAAATATTTATTAACATCACAATCTTCTTGGGCACAAAAATGAAAAAAAAAAAAAAAATGGCACACAGAAGAAAAAAAAATATTATAAAGTCCAATTCAAAACATCCGAGAACGACACAGAGAAATAAGGCAACAAAAATTGGAACACAGTGAAATAAAAGAAAAACAATCTTCGAGTCTGTTCAGAGCAAACAAATGTCTTTGACCTTTTTTTTTTCTCCTTTCTACTCCCTTCAAACACAACAGAAACTTCACCAGGATCACAAGGTTTTGGCTTCTTCTTCTCTCCCTAGATTACATGTTAATCTCAGAACACTGGCCTAACCAAACACCTTTTAGAAATGCACATACACACCAATAAATAGAACACTTTTATTTCAGAGAACAAAATGATATAATAACAACCAAAAATAAGGGCATCGTGTGGACAGTCACAGAGAGGGAAACCAGCAGAATCGTTGCTCCTGTTTAATCGCCTGCATGTTGCATTTTGTGGAAACGCAGATAAGTGGATGATGATCGAAAGCGACACAGGACATGAGACAGAGATAACCAGGGATATTGGAGGGAATCCCTGCTTGTCCCTCCATATTCCTCCTTCTATCTCTCCGTTTTGCTGCTAAAGTCTGTTGTGATCCTGTCTTTCTCGGTCCAAACAGGTCACCGTCGCTCTCCCCCCTCGCCAAGGCGGCACAGAGAGCGGAGGAGAGAGAGAGAACCAGCACAGATTTCTCTCCCTCTCTCCCTCTCTCCCTCTCTCTGCTTTATCTCCATGGTGCACACACGTCGACCTGGAGCGAGGCTGTGTACTGGCAGGGGGAGAACGTGAAACAGAGAGCAGAAAGGGGGGGTGGAGTGTGTGTTGTGTCAGGGGGGGGGATAAAGGGACACGCTGCTTCAATAGCGGAGCAGGTCCAGGGACTAATTGGATCTGGTAATGGCTGGTCAATGTGACTGAAGGGCTCGTTAGAACCAGTACAGCTCCTTGCCTTTCTTGTGCTGCTGGAGGCCTGAGAGACAAAAACAGAAAGACGAGGAAACAATGATGAGGACAATGGGAACACAGGTTGTCATGGAGCCTACTTTAGTCAAACATCCTGGTTTTTTTTTAGAGGTGAGAGAAAGAGAGCCGTGCGTGATGGCACATTGTGTGTATGTGTGTTTGAAGGGGCTTTGGATATTCAACATCACAAGAGTGTGCGTGTGTTACCTGGGGATTGTACCATGGAAAGGTTAAAAGTTTGCAGATGTGTTTATTAAGTTCCCTATAGTTTCATAACGGAGAAGGCCGGGGTTCAAATGTTTTGCCGATTGTTTAGCACAAAGGAGTTTGGATGATTTCAGAATCAGAATCAGAAATACTTTATTAATCCCAGAGGGAAATTCGATTGTTACAGTTGCTCCAAAATATACAACATAGCAGTGGAAATATAGTAATAAAAATATTAATCAAATAGAATAGGAACGTAAGTAAGATATCAATAATAGGTACAAGAAATATTTACACAAATAAGAGTCAGATGGACTGTTTGTTTCAATATTGCACCTTGTTATTATGGACATATTATTCATTATTATATCGTAGTTTTAATAAATAATGAGTTATGGTGGAGGTTACAGTTTTTCAGTTATTTATTTTATTTTTTTATTTTATATTATTTTATTTTATTTTATTTTATTTTATTTTATTTTATTTTATTTTATTTTATTTATTTATTTTCAGGCTGAAATAGTCCAGGGTCAGACGGAGTGTTTGTCACTCAAATGGAGGAGTTATATGTATTATTCTATTATTGTATTTTTTCTCCCTTTATTTAACTGATGTAAATATGTTTGATTTTTAACTTCTTGTTATTTTTAATAATTATATTCCTGTTTTCTTGAGCTGTTGTAACGAAAAAATTTCCCCCATGGGGGATCAATAAAGTTTATCTTTATCTTTTATCTTTAAAGTTTGATTTTTTTATGTTATAAACTTCACACTTGCAACGAAGAGAATTTGTTTCTCAAATTGTTTGTAGGGAGGAGTCACCGGCACAACACCCAAAGTTCGGTAAAATTTGGTGCCAATCAGCTCGGTTGGGGCGGAAAACAGTTTAAAAAAGAATCAATATCTGCAATAAATAAGCAGACTTCTTTTCCTGTGAGAGACAGATTGTTACGACAAATAATCTGAACTAGATTTTTGTCTTATTCTTCATGTGAGTGTTTTTTTTTTTTTTTTTACAATTTTCATATCAGGTTTCTTGATGATATGTTATACACTGTGAAAAAAATGAACATTTCTCTTTTCCACACAGTGATTGCAGAAATGGTTCAGTGGGTATACCTGCATCCATGTTGAGAGCCAGCGTCTGGCTCACGTCTCCCGGCGGCAGCAGGCCGTGCCAGGAGGCGGTGGGCTCCAGCTTGCTAACTTCATAGTGGCTCTGCAGCGTGGGTAGGTGAGGGGGCCTCACCGCGGGCATGAGCAGGGGCCCGTAGTGGGGCTCCAGAGCCGACGGTGAGTACAGTTCGTGCAGGGGACGCGGAGGCCCGTAGGCTTGGGCCTGAGGGTAACCCCAGCTCTCCGCTGGGTGAGGGTGGGCGTGATGAGGGTGAGCGTGAGGATGTGCGTGCGGATGAGGGTGAGCGTGCGGATGCGGCAGACCCGGGTGCAGCCCTGACGCGTACGGGTCCATGGAATAGGAGGGTGCGCTGGTCTCGCAGTGGGAGCGGCTCTGAGGCGAGGAGTAGTTACTATCCCAGAAGGATGGAGGGAAGCTTCGTCGACTGCTGGGTGACGGAGTATCTAACGAGAGAAGGGGAAAGCAGGACACACTGTGATTAAATTTAGGACCAGGGCACAAACTCTTGCACTTCAAGTGTCTAGTGATGCATTTGATTTATAGAAACAAATGGAAAGGCTTGGCGTGGTAAAACTTTGATGTCACTCACATGACTGCTTTCACCCTCTGGCCCAGATATCTTCCCAATTGGATCATACTGTCACACAACAACAACCCTCACCCCCAACAAGACACAGAAATAAACACAGCCATGTTCTGGTGGACGGAGGGAAAGCGAGAGAAGGGCAGAAAGAGAGACATCCCTATATCCATAGAGTTCTATATAAGGCAGACACTCTGACCTGGAGGGAGACCAAGGCCTGCAGAGCCTTAAATCTTCACTGTGGTGACATCTCTCACTCTCATGTCAGCCCAGTACTTCTGAAAGTCTCACAAACCTCTCCTACACACACACACACACACACACACACATACACACACACACACACACACACACACACACACACACACACACACACAGTCATGCACCCTCTACTCCTCTCTTCTGTCTCCTGCACCCCCCCACCTGTTGTTTTCTCTGCTCCCCCCTCCCCCCCTCTCCTCGCCCTTGACAGAATGTCAGCGGGGCCATTATATGTTTTTAGCAGTATCCTTATATATTTAGATATTCCTCTGAAAAGAGACACCATGCGACAACCTGAGAGGTAGTGTTTCCCTGTGCACCCTATCACACACAGACCACAGCCACACCACGTATATAAATCTGACAGGCAGGCAGGCGGCCGACTGACTGACTGAGCAACAATTGTGGGGCGAGAGCTGGAAGGAGAGTCAGAGCTGCAGAGCCGCGGAGACGTTTGAAGGGGATACGCCGGCGAGGCTGTGCGCTTACGACGATGTATAAACATAGCATCTGTTGTGAGGCAGGAGGCTTGTGTTAGTGCCGAAATGAAGAAGTAACGACTGGACTGAGGAACTACCAGCGACAGCAGAGAGAGGGAGAGAGTGGAGGCTATACATGGATATCCAAGGGATGACTTCAGATTGCTGCTAGAAAGAGACTTCTGTCTCTGTAATCGATTTTTAAATGACACGTTTGGATTTTTGCTGCAAAAAAAAAAGAAGTTTGATCCTGACTATCAATAAATGAGTTGCAATGTGCCAAAGCATACCACACAAGATGCCAAAAACTTCAAGCCTGATAATCTGAAGCTGCCTTTGTTCATTTTTGGATTCCCAATTTTTCACAGCACAACCCTTTTAAAAGAAAAATCTAACATTACACAGGTTGTTTGTCCTCTTTCTTTTCTCCATATCTTTTTCTCAAACCAGAGTCAAAGAGGCTCCTTTCTGATACCTAACAGCCCCTGGCTGACCCCTCATGACCTCATGAACTCTTCACTCTGACCTCTCCAGGGACAACAGTGCCAACAAGCAGCTCTTCAATCACGTCACCTGATCACATCACCTGTCTCTGCTGTGTAGTCTGCAGAACTGTCAGCTCACCCTGTGTGGCCTCAAAAAAACAAGCTCGAGTCACCACACAGACAACTGTTGAACCTGAGTTCCCATAAATAAATGGTGATTGTGACACTGCAGGGGTCGGGGAGGATAACAGCGCCGACCTACAATCAGTTAAACTCTAATTTTTTTAGAATTAATTTTGGATAATTCCATCTTGTTACAGCCAGTTTAACTTGAACAAAATTCTGATTTTGAGGTATTGATTTTATAAAAAAGGTCATTTCTATAGGTTTACTAATTATAAATGTTGGTTTTTCTTTTATTTGCACCCTCGAAACATGTTTGTATTTAGCATGATGTGTCTCCAATTAAAGGGCACCCTATTCATCACATACAGGGTCTTTCCACATCCAGGATTATACAAAGTGAATCTGTATTTTGTATGCCGCTTTAACGTATCCACAGTGTAGTATACCTGTGCCCGGTTGGTCTGACGCTCTCCGCTTGCCCTCTCCGTCCATGTAGGTGCTGAGAGCCCTGGAGAAGTGCTCGTCCACCACGCTGCTGATGTCTCCCTGGTAGTATGTGAAGAGGACACAGCGAGAGTTCAGGTACTCTGCCTCTGGGGCCTCCTGCTTCTCCTTAGGGCCTTCCTCTGGCCTCAAAGCTGCGGGCGTGTAGGAGGAAGAAGTAGTAGAAGAGTTGGACGAAGATGAGGAAGTGGAACCTCCTGTTCCTGGGCCCCCAGACATCCCTTCAGGACCCCTGGGAGTGTCCATAAAATCCCGGCAGTGAGGAGAAGTTCTGCTCAGACCTGTGGGAGCCTGAGAGGGGGAGGGGGAGGGGGGGGGGCAGGGATAGGGTTATGACAGGTGCTGTAGAGGACAGTTCTGGAGCTGTCTTTGAGACATTTTGACATAATGTTTTTCTTTGTGTGTGGTCGGGCTGGTATGTGTGAGCAAGTGAGCTGCGTAAAGATGAGGTGTTTTTTTGTCGCGCGACTTCAGCGTCTATTAAGACACAACAAACATTTTCAAATACACACATTAGTAGAGACTATACAATTTTGTAAATGTTCACATGCAGCTAGTTATACTTTCTGAAGGTGTTTCCATACGGTGGTTTGCTTTTACGCACAAGCTTCATGAACTAGCCAAATAAACACCTTGCAGTTGAACCCCATCACCACTTACGCCATTAAAATTGCATAAACACATTTTGATATATCACGGTGACACTGAAAAAAATGTTCTCACTTCCTACCTGTAAGCTATTGATAAAAGCAGGAGCAGTCGGTGCGTACGGTGCGTAATGTCCATAGGCTGGGTACATAACATCCAAACAGCTCATGGTAAATGAGCGGTGTCTTCACTGTTCTCTGAAAACCGACCTTGCTGACAGAGAGAGTGACAACATTCCGGGTTGTTGTTTTTTTTTTTTTTCTGATGAAGAGAAGCGTAGACTGATCGCTGATCAGTGTGAGAAAGCAACCTCCAGACTCGACATAGTCGCACCGAAGAAGAAGAAGAGCGCACCGTTCTATTCCATGTGTGCGCCAAAGCAGCTGCAGCAGCAAAATGTGGTGAGGTTTATTGGAGTGAAGCATGAGTGTGTCCTGTCCTGTACATCTCTGTGTCAACCCCTCCCACCTTTACCAGCCCCTCCATGCCCCGCACATCACCACCACCAACACTCCCACTACGGACTGAGGATTGGACGCATGCATAGGGATTGTTTCCTTTAATGTAAAAAAAAAAAAAAAAAAAAAGGTCTTAATGAAGAATATGACTGTTGTCAAAGGTATAAGAGTAAATCAGTTTAAAAGTAAGAGACTATACATTTTTATTCAAAAACAAAACAGGAAAAGGAATTGTCTAGCAAAACTGGAGACAACCTGCGACTAATCATGGCTCCACAACATCTTAATCCTGAATGTGATCCAGTAACAAAAATAGATCAGTATGAAGTCATGGAGCTTTATACCCGCCCTCACAACAATGAACACATAATAAATGCTGCTTTTTATTTCTTTCCGGGTACTGCAGATCCTTGAAAACTTTGTGCTCAGTCCAAGCTGAAAGTGTATCCACGGTCTTAAAACAGCCGCGGGTTGCCAAGTAAACCCTCAAGTCATCTGAAGTATTTAGTGTGTTCCCAGAATGACACATAGGTGTCAACTATAGGTTGCATACACTGGTCATACCAACACAGAGGAGAAAGGGACTCTGCACAAATCTATGACAAATTATCACCTTTCAGGAGTGCAAACAAAAAGATATTTTCACATGCACACAGAAAACGTCACAGGTGACAATCACAAACGCAGGTGAAGAAACAGAACCTGACGTGCACTCATGAAGAAAACCGCACCAAAAAAATGCATCTTGAAGTCATCAAAGTGGAAAAGCAAAAAAGAAGTTGGACGCATTCTCAAGAAAGGTGCAGTTGATTTCTCTTGTTTTAAGGGCTTACAGGTGCCTAATGTTTAGGCATGCCAGTCTTTTTGACAGGCACTTGCCTGTTTGCCTGGGAGAATAGTGTGGAAAATTTGCAGAATTCCATGGACGAGTGTCAGATGAGGTGGAATGTCTCTGATGTATGCGAGTGGACGAGCTCCTCGGGAAGTTGCATCGTCCCTCTGCTTGCGTTCCCGAGATGGAGAACATGACCAACATGTCGCTCCGCATACATCACACATGGTATGAATAACTAGGAGCAGGTTATTGCCATGCTAATGAATCGAACATGCTCTTAAATAGCAGGGGGATGAGGACGACATGCAGCAGTGCAGCTCTCACTTTGAGCTTGCCTTGCATCAGTGTTTTGATGAATTGGTTCTACAGCATAGTGTTGCAATGTAATACAGTAAAATGCACTGTATTGTGTTGCATATAACCTCAGTGGGACATTAACAGAGAGTCACTATCTAATACTCAATAATCTGCCTGAATATACTCTGCAAAAAAAAAGCTTATTCTTACTATTATAGTGCAGCTAATCAGTCCATTTCCTCTGCTGCATGATTTGCAATATGGGTTATTTGATCTATATCCGTGCAGTGTAATGCCATGGAGTCATTGGGAAAGAGAGTGATGCAATGGTAGACAGCTCACTGTTACACCAGCGTGATCAACAGCTGCAGCTGACAGAAGGGTACGGAGGCCACTATTAGTATTAATGGCCATGACTAAATATCTCTCTGTGTCTCTCTTTCTGTCTCCCCCCTCCCTCTAGCAAGTCTTCCCTAGTGATACACTATTTTTTTTTTTTTTAATCGTACAGTGTTCCCCCCCTGGAACAGCCACCAATGACTGTGTGTGTGTTTTACAGACACAGGTTGAAACACTTGACCTCAACCGACCAAACTGGGAAGAAAGCAACCAGCTTGCACGGTCTTAAACTTAGTTACAGTCTTCACATTTGAGTTCATCAATAACACAGAGCCGTGCATGCTCAAATCTTTGCACAGGAGGAACAGTATGTGCAGGAGTCTACAGTTGCCCGTGTGTGTATGTCCTGAGCAAAACCGTGTGTGTCTACATTTACGTGTATATGCTGAAAATAAACACAGGTTACATCACTCCTTGTGACCCTGCACCACAACAAGGCCCCGCCTCTACTTAAGAGAGGTCTGACCGGACCAAGTCTCTGATTGGCTGAGATGTTGCAGGGCCAGTTGAGGTAGTAATGGCAACCTGGTTTTATTTAGAGCGCTATTCTCATTGCGACACCGCCATTAATAGTTTATACTCGATGCTATGAAGGCCTGTGTTCACTAAAGAAATCAGGAAAAATGTGAGCTTTCATAACTAATTTAGAAAAAGTATGCTAACGTCAAAAACAAAAAAAATCATGTGTGTGAATAAATACATCAGGACAGTTTAAAGCTTCTGCTGGTGACCTGTAAAACAGAGCATGCAGAGATATGAACCTGAAACCATATAGGCCACCTCCTGAAACAACAAGGCCTTTATTAAGGTCCCATTCTGGCTCGGTCCCAAGGGGGTAGGACCTCAGGATTCCACTGTTGTTTATATGCCTCAGTGTGTATGTGTCTGTGTGTGTGTCTCTGTGTGTATATGTCAAAGACAGAGATGTACAGCTGCCCCGTTGTCCAGTTCCACACAAACTCATCTCAGCTGTTCAAAATCATCACTGAGTGTCATCAGAAACACACACACACACACACACACACACACATGCACACACACACTCTACACAAAGGGCCACATATGGACAGGTTTGGCTCATTCATCCTTCTACACAAATGTTGGTAATAAATCCTCTGGGATAGAATGTGCAAGTGTGCAGCTATTTTCTCCCTAAAACAACTCGTGTATTGTCCACGCAGACCACCAGCACCGAGTGTTAGAGTCAGTTAAAGAAACCTAAAGAACTTTAAGGATCAGAGTTTTTAAGCATTCTTTAGAAGTCATGAACACTTTCTGTTTATCTACATACACTTTACAGAGTACTTTGATTAATAGGGTCTCTTGTCAGTTTCAGTTCAAGGCAGCAGAGCTTTAAGAACCACTTTGATGAAACATGAGACCAAATTGGAATCACAGAATACCAGTACATGTTTCTGCTGTTAAATTAGCAGATGTGCATTTAATTGTAAGGAAAAATCTGGGGTTATCTGTATTGAAATCATTTTGGTTTTGACTTAAATGCAACATTATAGTTCAGTTTTTGCTGCTCTTTTCCTTTTCTGGTCGTGCCTCAGTTGGTAGAGTCGGTCGTCTCTCAACTGGAAGGTCTGGGGTTTGATACACAGCTCCTGCAGACATATGTCGATGTGTCCTTGGGCAAGACACTTAACCTAGATTGCTCCCACTGCTGCGTCAGCATCAACGTGCATGTTTATGAATTCAAAGGTCAAAGGTTAGATGCATCTTTATTGTCCCCACAGGTAAATTTGTTTGCAGCCGGAAACATACAATATGTAAACAACACTGAGAAATACTCCAACTAAGGATAGGTGCATGAATACATAAAACATGAATTGGATTAGTTAATACTTTGTGAATGCTTAGGTGTGACCTGTGGTGTAAAAGCGATTTGAGTAGTCAGAACACAAGAAAAGATCTTTTCAAGCTCAAGTCCATTTACCATTGATCATCTTAAAATAACTCCTAAATTATGATTTAAAAAAAAAACATCAATATCATCAAAGAAATCTTGTCAAATATATATATTGCCTATTGCCTATATGGCCTATATTGCCTAGCGGTTCGGTGTGTCCCATGTGTGAAGGCTGTAGTCCTCCAGGCAGGTGACCCTGGTTAGAGTCCAATCTGTGGCTCCTTTCTCTCCATTCCCCCTCTCTCTCTCTCTCTCTATCTCTCTCCCTGATTACCAACGTCTAACCAATGTCTCTCAAATAAAGGCATTGAAAGCCTGAAAAATAATCTTTGAAAAAATCTTGTCAAAGCACATTACCAGTCTTAGTATAGAGATGTTCAACAATGTCTGTATCACCTGCCCTTGGTAATTATTTTGTAACCATGTGTTTGCATTTGACATTACTGCTTGATCAAGCAAGTTTTTGTTCCAGGAGACGTTCTTTTTATTATTATTATGGTTTGTAAGGAATTGGCTCAACTGTGAAAAAACTATGGATGTTACAACAAGAGACTCATGTTGTTATCTCAGTAAAATGTGCTTTATCTTGAGATAAGAAAACAACAGGTCATTCCACTTATTGCTTACAATGTGATCAGGAGGGGCTTCTTGCCAATTATAACCACTGTTTTAAGATTAAAATCACAGATCATGTTGAACCCATTACTGATCATCTGACAGTAAATCAATACTCGAGGCTGATATCAGGTGTGATCAAATGAACCAGAACATGTTCCATCCATCCATCCATTATCTTTACCGCTTTTCGCATTCGGGGTTGAGTGAGTGCTGGAGCCGCTCCCAGCTGTCATTGTCGAGAGGCAGGGTTACAACCTGGACTGGTCACCAGTCAATCACAGGGCTTGAATACAGAGACAGACGACCAGCCACACTCACAGTCACACCTACGGGCAATTTAGAGTAACTGATTAACCTAACGAGCATGTCTTTGGACTGTGGGAGGAAGCCGGAGTACCCGGAGAGAACACATGCACGGGGAGAACATGCAGACTCCTCACAAAGAGGTCCTGTCCAACTGGGATTTCAAACCAAGAACCTCCTCGCTGTGAGGCAGCAGTGCTAACCACAGTGCAGCCCCAGACATTATTTTCTTTCACTATATATCCATCCTTTAACTCAACAAATCCAGTGTTATCTGAAGATAGTTTAACTTAACAGGTAAAAACACTCAGTGTCCACTGTTCCTGAATGCTAACCATTTGAAACATGAATTAACAGCATCCTCTAAGAGGCTGACAAGTGCTACATACCTAACATCCTATCAGTGGGGGAATCCTGCCGCCACACTGCCACCGGGGTCACCAGAGTTATGCACACCCAATCACAAATTCACACGCTCGCACACAAACGCACAGAGAAGTGAGGGCAAAAGAAACATGTTTAAACGGACGAAAGATGCAGAAAAAGAAACACAAATCTGGGCATGTTGGTCTGCCACCTTCCTGCATCACATTCCTGCC